GACGTGTGGACGTGTGGTGTCCAGCTAGTCACTGATTTGCCATGGGATTGGCCTCAACTTGTTGTTGTTGTTGTGTGAATTGTTTGTCCCTGATGGTAGAGCCATATCCTCTATACATGTTTCTCTGGGTAACTATCTAACCCTAATTAAACTCATAATCCCCTAAATATATATCACCATTCTCACTGGGTTATTTAGGCCTTCCTGGTTTTACTAACATTTCAAATAAAAATACTTTAATAGGCATTATTATGAAATGAGGAAATCAATTAAGGAAAATATTAATTATCAATTCACATTAATGACAATGTAAGGTAATCTAATATAGATATAGAAAAATAAATATAGAATATAGAAAAGCACAAATAAATAGAGGTTGAGGTATACAGTATACTAGTATACTATACTATAGTGTACTATAACTATATTCAGAACATTGAAGTATTTTAACAGATATAACCGTTAAATGTCTCCTGCTCTGGCCTCCATTCAGAACATTGAAGTATTTTAACAGATATAACTGTTAAATGTCTCCTGCTCTGGCCTCCATTCAGAATATTGAACTATTTTAACAGATATAAAGTCCCTTCAGAAAGTATTCACACCCCTTGACTTTTTCCACGTTGTTGTGTTACAGCCTGAATTTAAAATTGATTACATTTAGATTTTGTTGTCACTGGCCTACACACAATAATACAACAATGTCAAACTGGAATTATGTTTTTCAAAATTGTTACAAATTAATAAAACATGAAAAGCTGAAATAGGTTCAGGAGGAAAACTTTACTTGACAAGTTACATAATAAATTGTACTGACTCGCTGTATGCAGTAACAGGGTTTAACATGATTTATGAATGACTACCTCATCTCTGTACCCCACACATACAGATAATTGTAAGGTCCCTCAGTCGAGCAGTGAATTTCAAACACAGATTCAAACACAAAGACCAGGGAGGTTTTCTAATGCCTCGCAAAGAAGGGCATCTATTGGTAGATGGATAAAAAAATAAAAAAGAGGACATTGAATATACCTTTGAGCATGGTGAAGTTATTAATTACACTTTACATTTACATTTACATTTTAGTCATTTAGCAGACGCTCTTATCCACAGCGACTTACAGGAGCAATTAGGGTTAAGTGCCTTGCTCAAGGGCACATTAACGTCATTTAGCAGACGCTCTTAGCCAGAGCGACTCACAAATTGGTGCGTTCACCCTATAGCCAGTGGGATAACCACTTTACAATTGGGGGGGGGGTAGAAGGATTCCTTTATCCTATCCCAGGTATTCCTTAAAGAGGTGGGGTTTCAAATGTCTCCGGAAGGTGGTGAGTGACTCCGCTGTCCTGGCGTCGTGAGGGAGCTTGTTCCACCATTGGGGGGTGTATCAATACACCCAGTCAATACAAAGATACAGGTGTTCTTCCTAACTTAGTTGCCGGAGAGAAAGGAAACCACTCAGGGTTTCCAAAACATGCATCCTGTTTGCAACAAAGCACTAAAGCAATACTGCAAAGCAATTAACTTGTTGTCCTGAATGCAAAGTGTTATGTTTGGAGCAATTCCAACACAACACATTACTCAGTAATGCTTCATATTTTCAAGCATAGTGGTGGCTGCATCATGTTATGGGTATGCTTGTAATCATTAAGGACTTAGGAGTTATTCAGGATAAAAAAAGAAACAGAAAAAATAATGGAGCAAAGCACAGGCAAAATCCTAGAGGAAAACCTAGTTGCCCCAGTCTGAGGTCCTGAGAGTTCTGGAGCAGGTTTTCATCAAGGATCTCTCTGTACCTTGCTCCGTTCATCTTTGCCTTGATCCTGACTAGTCTCCCAGTCCCTGCCGCTGAAAAACATCCCCACAGCATGATGCTGCCTCCACCATGCTTCACCGTAGGGATGGTGCCAGGTTTTCTCAAGACGTGACACTTAGCATTTAGGCCAAAGAGTTCAATCTTGGTTTCATCAGACCAGAGAATCTTGTTTCTCATGGTCTGAGTCCTCTAGGTGCCTTTTGGCAAACTCCAAGCGAGCTGTCATGTGCCTTTTACTGAGGTATGGGTTCCGCCTGGCCATTCAACCATAAAGGCCTGATTGTTGGAATGCTGCAGAGATGGTTGTACTTCTGGAAGGTTCTCCCATCTCCACAGAGGAACTCTAGAGCTCTATCAGAGTGACCATTGGGTTCTTGGTCACCTCCCTGACGAAGGCCCTTCTCCCCCGATTGCTCAGTTTGGCCGGGCGGCCAGCTCTAGGAAGAGACTTGGTGGTTCCAAACTTCTTCCATTTAAGAACGATGGAGGCCACTGTGTTCTTGGGGACCTTCAATGCTGAAGAAATCTTTTGTTACCCTTCCCCAGATCTGTGCCTCGACCCAATGTGGTGAACAGGTCAAATGTATGTGGTCAACAGGTCAACAGTATCTAGTCAACAGGTCAACAGTATGTGGATAACAGGTCAACAATATATTGTCAACAGGTCAACAGTATGTGGGCACAGGTCAACAGTATGTAGTCAACAGCATGTTGTCAACAGTTCAACAGCATGTGGTCAACAGATCAATAGAAGGTGGTCAACAGTATGTGCTCAACAATATCTGGTCAACAATATGTGGTCAACAGATCAACATTATGTGGTCAATATGTCAACAATATGTGGTCAAGAGGTCAACAGTATGTGGTCAACAGGTCAACAGAATGTGGTCCACAGGTCAACAGTATGTGGTCAACAGATGGAGAAAACACCTGTCTCCGAATTACATCTTCAAACGAAGGGCAACCATGGCATCTGTGAGGGAGACGCATCCATCCATGATGTATACGGGTATGATAGTCTAGCTAGCTACATTTTCAGACATTACTCGTTTCTAATTTTGACAGAGATTGGTTTTATTTCAAGTTAAAATGTACTGTTAGCTAGCTAACGTTAGCTGGCTGGCTCATTAGCTAACGTTACGTGTATGATCTTATTATTCGTATCTCAGAGCCATTTGCTTGGCTAGTTAGAGCCTAATGTTAGATAGCTAACATTGAACCTGGTTGGTTAGCTACCAGCAGATTCATGCAGGGTAGTAGTAACGTCATGAGTTGGGATTATGGTTCATTGTTTAGCTAGCTAGTTAGCTACATGTTTTAACAAAAGACTCCACTATGCAAGTATCCATTTCAATAGAATGTCACTGTGACAACTGTTGATAGACGTAGCTGGTAAATTCGCTCTGGCTATCTACTCCGATTTCAGAGCACGTGTAAGATACTCTAGCTAGCTACATTTTCAGATATTACACGTTTCAAATTTTTACAGAAAGTGGTTTCATTTCAAGTTAACGTGTACTGTTAGCTAGCTAACGTTAGCTGGCTAGCTCGATAGCTAACGTTACGTGTATGATGTTATTATTCGTATCTCAGAGCCATTTCCTTGGCTAGTTAGAGCCTAATGTTAGCTAGCTAATATTGAACCTGGTTGGTTAGCTACCTGCAGATTCATGCAGGGTAGTAACGTCATGAGTTGGGATTATGGTTCATTGTTTACCTAGCTAGCTAGCTACATGTCTTAACAAAAGACTCCACTATGCAGGTAACCATTTCGGGTGCGTTTGTAAATTCAGTCTGAGTATGCCAGAGCGCAGAATAACTGATGAATTTCCGAATGCTCAACACGCGTTGAATATGGCAGGTGTCAGTAAACGTCGGCAAAAATGCATAATTAAATTGTTGCCAGCAGCACAGTTACAGTCACCAACGCTCTGGATAACATGAAAACAGCCTAACAAGCTCTGCTAGGGCAAGTAAAATGGTCAGTGGGGTGTTTTCTAATTTCTGTCTGGAAGTGGCTAGCAAGCTAGCCAATGTTAGCCAGTTAGCTTGGGTGTTTGACTGCCATTGTGAGGTCAGAAAGCTCTGATCAACCCTACTCATTGGCCAGAGCGTCCAGTGTGCGTTCTGAATGCTCCCAGAGCGAAATGAGATGGGTGGGGCTAAAGCATAAGAGGGTGTGAACGATGCTGAATGGGTGTAGACAAAGAAGAGCTCTCCAGTAGGTACCAAAATATTGAAAGGCCATTTTCTCAAATGTGGAATTACAAGTTGATCAACTTTAAAAGCAGAATTACTTTCCCATTGTTCCTCAAAGGCAGAGTATGATATACCATTTTGTAGCACTCTGTCTCTGCTTTTATCCAATGTAAAAAAAAAAACATTTCAAATGTTGCTACATAAGACTGAATAAAGGCGGTTGGTCACATATGTGGTCAACAGGTCAACAGTATGTGGTCAACATGTTAACAGTATGTCGTCAACTGGTTAACAGTATGTGGTCAACAGGTCAACAGTTTGTAGTCAACAGTTTGTCGTCAGCATGTCAACAGTGTGTGATGAATAGGTCAACAGTGTGTGTTCAATGGGTCAACAGTATGTGGTCAACAGGTCGACAGTATGTGGTCAACAGTATGTGGTCAACAGTATCTGGTCAACAGGTCAACAGTATGTGGTCAACAGTATGTGGTCAACAGGTCAACAGTATGTGGTCAACAGTATGTGGTCAACAGGTCGACAGTATGTGGTCAACAGGTCAATAGTATGTGGTCAACAGGTCAACAGTATGTGGGAACAGGTCAACAGTATGTGGTCAACAGGTCAACAGGATGGTGTCAACAGTATGTGGTCAACAGTATGTGGTCAACAGGTCAACAGTATATGGTCAACAGCATGTGGTCAACAGAACAACAGTATGTGGTCAACAGTATGTGGTCAACAGGTCAACAGTATGTAGCCAACAGTATGTAGTCAACAGGTCAACATTATGTGGTCAACAATATGTGGTCAACAGCATATGGTCTACAGGACAACAGTATGTGGTCAACAGGTAGAAAGTATGTGGTCAACAGGTCAACAGTATGTGGTCAACAGGTCAACAGTATGTAGCCAACAGTATGTAGTCAACAGGTCAACATTATGTGGTCAACAATATGTGGTCAACAGCATATGGTCAACAGGTCAACGGTATGTGGTCAACAGCATGTGGTCAACAGTATGTGGTCAACAGGTCAACAGTATGTGGTCAACAGTATGTGGTCAACAGTTCAAAAGTATGGGGTCAACATAATGTGGCCAACATTATGTGGTTAACAGTATGTGGTCAACAGGTCAACAGTAAGTGGTCAACGGTATGCAGTCAACAGTATGTGATCAACAGGTCAGCAGTATGTGGTCAACGGTATGTGGTTAACAGTGTGTGGTCAACAGTATGTGGTCAACAGGTAAACAAATATGTTTTCAATAGTATGTGGTCAACATGTTAACAGTATGTGGTCAACATGTTAACAGTATGTGGTCAACAGTATGTGGTCAACAATATGTGGTCAACAGTATGTGGTCAACAGTATGTGGTCAACAAGTCAACAGTATATGGTCAACAGGTCAACAATATGTGGTCAACAGTATGTGGTCAACAGGTCAACAGTATGTGGTCAACAGTATGTAGTCAACAGTATGTGATCAACAGGTCAGCAGTATGTGGTCAACGGTATGTGGTTAACAGTGTGTGGTCAACAGTATGTGGTCAACAGGTAAACAAATATGTTTTCAACAGTATGTGGTCAACATGTTAACAGTATGTGGTCAACAGTATGTGGTCAACATGTTAACAGTATGTGGTCAACAGTATGTGGTCAACAATATGTAGTCAACAGTATGTGGTCAACAAGTCAACAGTATGTGGTCAACAGGTCAACAATATGTGGTCAACAGTATGTGGTCAACAGGTCAACAGTATGTGGTCAACAGTATGTGGTCAACAGTATGTGGTCAACAGGTCAACAGTATGTGGTCAACAGGTCAACAGTATGTTGTCAACAGTATGTGGTAAACAGTTCAACAGTATGTGGTCAACAGTATGTGGTCAACTGTATTTGGTCAACAGGTCAACAGTATGTGGTCAACAGTATGTGATCAACAGGTCAACAGTATGTGGTCAACAGGTCAACAGTATGTTGTCAACAGTATGTGGTAAACAGTTCAACAGTATGTGGTCAACAGTATGTGGTCAACAGTATGTGGTCCACAGGTCAACAGTATGTGGTGAACAGTATGTGGTGAACAGTATGTGCTCAACAGGTCAACAGCATGTGGTCAACAGGTCAACAGTATGTGGTCAACAGTATGTGGTCAGCTGTATTTGGTCAACAGGTCAACAGTATGTTGTCAACAGTATGTGATCAACCGGTCAACAGTGTGTGGTCAACTGTATGTGGTAAACAGGTCAACATTATGTTGTCAACAGTATGTGGTCAACAGGTCAACAGTATGTGGTCAACAGTTCAACAGTATGTTGTCAACAGTATGTGGTCAACAGGTCAACAGTATGTGGTCAACAGTTCAACAGTATGTGGTGAACAGTATGTGGTCAACAGTATGTGGTCAACAATATTTGTCAACAGTATATTGTCAACAGTATGTGGTCAACAGTATGTGGTCAACAGGTCAACAGTATGTGGTCAACAGGTCAACAGTATGTTGTCAACAGTATGTGGTCAACAGGTCAACAGTATGTGTTCAACCGGTCAACAGCATGTTGTCAACAGTATGTGGTCAACAGGATGTGGTCAACAGTATGTTGTCAACAGTATGTGCTAAACTGTATTTGGTCAACAGGTCAACAGTATGTGGTCAACAGGTCAACAGTATGTGGTCAACAATATTTGGTCAACAGTATATTGTCAACAGTATGTGGTCAACAGTATGTGGTCAACAGGTCAACATTATGTGGTCAACAGTATGTGGTCAACAGGTCAACAGTATGTGTTCAACAGGTCAACAGTATGTTGTCAACAGTATGTGGTCAACAGGTCAACAGTATGTGGTCAACAGTATGTGTTCAACAGGTCAACAGTATGTGGTCAGCTGTATGTGGTCAACAGGTCAACAGTATGTGGTCAACAGTATGTGGTCAACAGTTCAACAGTATGTGGTGAACAGTATGTGGTCAACAGTATGTGGTCAACAATATTTGGTAAACAGTATATTGTCAACAGTATGTGTTCAACCGGTCAACAGTATGTTGTCAACAGTATGTGGTCAACAGGTCAACAGTATGTGGTCAACAGTATGTTGTCAACAGTATGTGGTAAACTGTATTTGTTCAACAGGTCAACAGTATGTGGTCAACAGGTCAACAGTATGTGGTCAACAATATTTGGTCAACAGTATATTGTCAACAGTATGTGGTCAACAGTATGTGGTCAACAGGTCAACATTATGTGGTCAACAGTATGTGGTCAACAGGTCAACAGTATGTGTTCAACAGGTCAACAGTATGTTGTCAACAGTATGTGGTCAACAGGTCAACAGTATGTGGTCAACAGTATGTGTTCAACTGGTCAACAGTATGTGGTCAGCTGTATGTGGTCAACAGGTCAACAGTATGTTGTCAACAGTATGTGGTCAACTGTATTTGGTCAACAGGTCAACGGTATGTGGTCAACAGAATGTGGTCAACAGGTCAACAGTATGTGGTCAACAGGTCAACAGTATGTTGTCAACAGTATGTGGTCAACAGGTCAACAGTATGTGGTCAACATTATGTTGTCAACAGTATGTGGTCAACAGGTCAACAGTATGTTGTCAACAGTATGTGGTCAACAGGTCAACAGTATGTGGTCAACAGTATGTAGTCAACTGTATGTGGTCAACAGCCCTCCAATCCAGGAATGACATCATCAGAATAAAATGATCTCATTTTATATATTTTAGTAAAATGTTCCATAATGACTGGGCAGCAAAGCTAAAAGCACTCCTACTCCAGACTCCATTATTGTGTTGGGAATATTTTATAAAATGCAGTTTTGAGATCTCAGACTGTTATGTCCATTAGTCTGTAGGTTGAATAAAGTGCTTAAATATATTGGCAGCTTCCCTAAAAAGGCCTTGTAGACAAACAGTTAGTCTTTAACCTCAGTGTTAAGGAGGGTGTTGTGTTTGTTACAAATCTATGAGCAACATGGTAGAGTGTGTCTAGTGTGTGTAGGTAGGACCCTCTGGCATTCATGTACAGAACATCACCATAGTCCAACAAAGGCTAAACAGTGGCTGCAACAAGGTCTTTCCTAGCTTGAAATGAAAACAAGACTTGTTCCTAAAGAAAATCCCAGATTAAGTTTAAGCTTTTTAGTTGGCTCTTAAAGGACATAGTTTCATGAAGGGCTGTTGAACGTGGCTCTTACAGGACATAGTTTCATCAAGGGCTGTTGAACGTGGGTCTTAAAGGACATAGTTTCATCAAGGGCTGTTGAACGTGGGTCTTAAAGGACATAGTTTCATCAAGGGCTGTTGAACGTGGTTCTTAAAGGACATAGTTTCATCAAGCGCTGTTGAACGTGGCTTGTTTTGCTGACTGACTATCTGAGGCAGACTAGGGGGTTGCTTTCTTGATCTAATAATAATGATTTAATAATATATACGTCGATATAGAGATATAGACAGTAACATGCGGCCAACATTCAGTTAGATATAGATCCAGAATAATAACATAACTGTAGGTAGTATAGACACTGACCCCGTCCGCTGCATCCTACAAAGCTCAGGCCATAATAACATAGATGTAGAGATATAGATACTGATCTAGATAATATAGACACTGACCCCGTCCGCTGCGGCCTACGAAGCGCAGGTCGTTGAAGCGAGCCACCTGGTTCTTCATCACTCCTGACGCGTTCCGCAGCTCGGCCGAGTAGTTCTCATCGTTCCCCGCCATCACCGTTACGACCGTCCCATCAGTCACCTCTCCCAACCCCACAACCTGGGGAGGAGAGGATGCTGGGATGTCATAGACGACTAAGCACAGCAGGTACACTGAGCCTCAACCCAAAATTACATGGTCCCTATCTTTCACTTTTATATCTTTGCCTTTTTTTGGGGGGGGGGGGTTGAGGCCTGTAGATTTCTCCTGATGCGTTTAGAAGGGATATGCCTATTAGATGGATTCAGCTTGAGTTCAGACCAGTTTTTGACTGCTGAAAATGTCTGTCACTGTTTTGGGGTGAAATATGTCATTAGATCGCTCATTACAATGACCTGATACTGGGAGAAACAAATAGAGGCATGGTTATATTTATTCCATTAATATATTAAATATACACTACCAGTCAAAAGTTTGGACACACCTACTCATTCAAGGGTTTTTCTTTATTTTTACTATTTTCTACATTGTAGAATAATAGTGAAGACATCAAAACTATGAAATAACACATATGGAATCATGTAGTAACAAAAAAAAGTGTTAAACAAATCAAAATATATGTTATGTTTGAGATTCTTCAAATAGCCACCCTTTGCCTTCATGACAGCTTTGCACACTCTTGGCATTCTCTCAACCAGCTTCACCTGGAATGCTCACAAAGACACGGCAGTTGGAACCAAAAAGCGCCAATTTGGACTCCAGACCAAAGGACAGATTTCCACCGGTCTAATGTCCATTGCTCGTGTTTCTTGGCCCAAGCAAGTCTCTTCTTATTATTGGTGTCCTTTAGTAGTTGTTTCTTTGCAGCAATTAGACCACGAAGGCCTGATTCACAGTCTCCTCTGAACAGTTGATGTTGAGATATGTCTGTTACTTGAACTCTGTGAAGCATTTATTTGGGCTGCAATTTCTGAGGCTGGTAACTCTAATGATTTTATCCTCTGCAGCAGAAGTAACTCTGGTTCTTCCATTCCTGTGGCTGTCCTCATGAGAGCCAGTTTCATTGTTGCGCTTGATGGTTTTTGCGACTGCACTTGAAGAAACTTTCAAAGTTCTTGAAATGTTCCGTATTGACTGACCTTCCTGTCTTAAAATAATTATGGACTGTCGTTTCTCTTTGCTTATTTGATCTGTTCTTGCCATAATATGGACTTGGTCTTTTACCAAATAGGGCTATCTTCTGTATACCCCCCCCCCCCCCCCCCCCCAGCCTACCTTGTGATAACACAACTGATTGGCTCAATCGCATTAAGAAGGAAAGAAATTCCACAAATATAACATATATTTTGATTTGTTTAACACTTTTTTGGTTAATGCATGATTCCATATGTGTTATTTCCTAGTTTCGATGTCTTCACTATTATTCTACAATGTAGAAAACAGTAAAAATAAAGAAAGACCCTGGAATGAGTAGATGATCTAAAACTTTGGACTGGTAGTGTTTATGTATATCACAATTCAGTTTATTTTATTTAATTAACAATCCAAGATAGTTTAAAGGTATAGGTTTCCATAAGCACTTTTAAAATCAAACCAAATGACATTTTATTTATCACATGCACAGAATACAACAGGTGTCAACTTAAACAGTGAAATGCTTACAAGCCCTTTCCCAACAATGCAGGGTTAAAATATAAGAAAAGTAATATTAATAGTAAATCTAGTAGTAAATAGACCTGTACTTAGTAGAAAGGTAGTTGGGATGAGGCTATGGCCTTCACACTAACACAATATTACTGAGATTCAGTTCTACAAATCTGCTATTCATCCTAAATTCATTCTCAAAATTATAAAAAAATTTTTTTTTAAATTTAAAATCTATTTTCAAACTTAAAACAAACAAAATATATGTCAATATGTGCTCCATCATGTCAGTGAGTAGGCGGTTTAAACATGATAGTGTGTAAGGCTAGATCTACCATCTGATTGTTCACCTTGACTCCAGGATAATAAAGATCATTATAGGGTGGAACTACAGCCTACCTTTAGTCCTACAGGTAACAGTTATATTAATAATTAAAACCATGTTTATGATGATGAATGAAATTACCATGTATCGTCAACACTAAATAAATACTATTATAAACATGATCGGTAGTACATGATCGTTTAAATTTACAGATTCATCTTTTTATCAGTGTTAGTTGTATTAATGTTTTATGAAAAGGTATTTGAACAGCATTCAGCAGGCCCCTTTGCAGCCGATGTCGGCCTGTGGTGACATTGTCAATAATAAACCTAGAACGGCAAAAGGTATTCATGGGAAAAAATAGAAAACATTATCAGATGAAAATTATTTCATATATTGTTCATTTCGTTTATTATTTTTTACGCAGCAAAAATAAAGGATGGGTTATATGAATTTGGTGTACCCAGTAATGCACTAGGCCTATATGCAAATCAACATCCGTAATTAATTCATATACATTTACAAGGAACAGATGAGTTTGTATAAATGTAATCCCCTGTAGCTCAGTTGGTAGAGCATGGCGTTTGCAACGCCAGGGTTGTGGGTTCGTTTCCCACGGGGGGCCAGTATGAAAATGTATGCTCTCACTAACTGTAAGTCGCTCTGGATAAGAGCGTCTGCTAAATGACTAAAATGTATAATTGTGGAAAATATCTAGGCCTAAATTGAAAAATTTAGCAATATGTTTATCAAACGCATCTATTTTATTGTTTATTTAGGCTACCCTATATATTATGGAAGCTGCATGCCTGCATTTCATTTGACTTAATTATGTTTTCGAATCTAATTACAATTAGAACAGCAAATATGTAAAATGTCCATCAATTTCGGAGTTTAATTTGAGTGGTGAACAGTATAATTATTCCAGTAATTGTGAGGTGTATATAATATCTAAAGGCGCTGTGAGGAATAACACCAGTATCTGTCTGTCTGTCTGTCTATCTGTCTGTCTGTCTGTCTGTCTCCCAGCGGCTGAGACAATAACAGAGACGTTTCATATGAACATTGGTTTCAAAATATGCAGTTGTTGATGAAAGTCAACACACACAACATCTCTCCATTCCACGCCTCGCTGCTCCCAATTATCAGCTTTACACAATAACGCTTTGTTAATTAAATCCCCAAAGAAGCACGCTACTTCGTCTGTTTTAGCCTCTACTTTCCTAAATCCAAATCTGTTGAAATAAAACAGAAACATCTGCAGATCTGCTATAGCCTACACAAATATTATAGGAATAGGCCTAACACAAATTCTAAATTATATAATTTGTACAACTAATTTTAAGGCAGAGCAATAGCCTAATATTTCATAAAAACATAAACACATTCATTTTCACAGCCCAAACCCCCCAAGTACAGACATTCACAGTAAGCCTTTTTCTCCCAGTTGCTATGTAGGCCCATGAAATATTTGAAGTATAAAGTAGTGTAAACAGTGTTTTACCTTGATATATTTAATATAAAGTATAAATATATATAAGGAGAGTGTATAAAGTAATACAGAGAGTGTTATTTACCTTGAATGCGACGGGCAGCGTCTTGTTGCACCGCCAGTGAGATGGTAACACGGAGCAGAGGAAGTTTGGGCTGTCAGTCCGGACCAGCTCCGCCGGGTGGTCGGCTATGATCTCCGCCATGCTGCGGTTCTCCTGCAGGCGCAGCCTTGGCACCGTGCTGTCTTGCTGCCCGGTCCCGGTCGGCGTGTTGAGCTCGTTCATCTTGGCCGGGATCGGCTGGAGGCTATTGGACGGCGGGCTAAACCTCCGCGTGGCACTGGGATCTACGGGAATGCGCATCACAACAGACTAGGTTTCAGCACAGCCACCAGGCACTGGAAAGAGTCAAGACCACCACGCCAGTTCTCCTCTCCTCTGCTCTCCCTCTCCTCCTTAGCGACTCAGTCGGCCTGTCTGTCTGCTCGACGCGGCTGAGAAACTTCAGCTCTCCGGCCAACGGAAAATTGGACTCCGAGTTGCTAAACTTCTCTCCACGACAGTGTTCTCTGGGCGCCTCGGTGCCTCAAAATAAAACCGTCTCCAGCTACAAAACCACATCTGAACGGGCGAGTGGGATTTTTTTTTTAGGACATTTTCATTGTTAAGTGTCCGCGTCAAAACACCAGACCGATTGCTTCATGTGTGAATTTAATTAAGTCTGATGAAAAAAAAAAATCAAAGTAATCTAGAATTAGCCTACTAAAAGAAACACAAGACGGAATTCTCTCTTTCCCTTCAGTAGTCAGCGGGCAGCTCCAGGTGCGTCAGCGGGTCTTCGTGCCAAATTGAAAAACGTTCGAGCCTGCAGGCTATTACACGTACAGAACACCTTCAAAGGCGCGACAATAAAGATGCGAAAACGGCTTTGAACAATCATCTATAGTGTTGTTTATAGCCAGCAGCACATATATTTCAGCCAAATGTAGATCAGCCAAATCTATTCACAGCCTAGCCCATGTAACACCATCTTTAATGCATTCATGTAGCCTATATGATAGGGTTAAAAGGTGGTTGAAATAGAATAAAAGCTGTGAGTCGGTGAAATAAAGGGGAAAGCTCTCTCCATGTTTTGGTTTAGTAGCTGTGATACGGTGCTGCGGGTAGGAGGCCGGGCTTCCCGGTGCCTCTTGCTGACAGTTTGTGGTTTATATAGGGTAGCTGTCCGGTGCCCGGCGCTTACCATGCTGATGACATAAACCACGTGGTGTCTCCTGGACCTATAGTGCCCTTCACCATAAATCAATGACCAATATGTTACCGGTTAGGTCACTAATGCTACAGAGGACCTGCCGCTCTGAGGATGGGTTCAATGTTAAATACATATTGTAGCCTACATGTGTAGCCAGTTTAACAGTTTAGGAATATCGTTTTATGATTCAAAGCGTCATGTGAACTCGGGCTCCCGAGTGGCGCAGCGGTCTAAGGCACTGCATCTCAGTGCGTCACCACAGACCCCCCTGGTTCGATTCCAGGCTGTATCACAACCGGCCGTGATTGGCAGTCCCATAGGGCGGCGCACAATTGGCCCAGCATCGTCCGGGTTTGGCCGGTGTAGGCCGTCATTGTAAATAAGAATTAGTTCTTAACTGACTTGCCTAGGGAAATAAAATAACAGTGCCTACAAGCATAAAACCCGAATAGAGGAATTAAATGTTCTAGACAAATACATACCGACATGCCATACAGTTCATTGCTCCAAATTAACATCGTGACAGTTGTGTTGAATCCTTCGCCACAGTCCATCAGATGGAGCAGGATAGTCTCCCCACATGCCACTCAAACACGTGGCTAACTGTAAACCGTTCACATTATCTGTGGTGTTCCGTCACTATAAATGTGTCCCCTAATGTAGACTAGTTTCTCATTACAAGGCCCGAATGAAGGGAAAGCCGCGTCAGAACTCAGACTGGAAGTGAACATGCAGGGCGCCGTGAGTCACTGGCGGGCTGGGGCTGCGGAGGGGAGTCAGGTAGGGAGACAGACAGCTGGGGAGTTTAGTTACGCATGGACACAGGGTAGAGCTGTTGCGCAACACAGGTATAATTTACTGTAATAGGTATTATTCTACTCTGTACTGTAGGCCACAGTACACTCTTAGAAAAAAAGGGGACACATTTGCGGATCTATATAGAACCTTTTGGTTCTTTGGAGGAGATTAAATAACCCTTTCCTAAGCAAGGTTTTAATATATATATATCCAGTGAGGGTTCTATCCCTCCCCCAGATTGGAATGGGGATTTTAGAAACCAACAGCTAACAAAAGCTAACCCAGTCACATCAAACTCTGAAATTACAGATAATGTTCAGTTTTAATTTGTTTGAGCTGTTTTCCATTGACATCCATATTAATGATGCTGCTGCATGATTTCGCCTGGTCAGAAAATGGCTATCTGACGTCGGACATGTTAGCTCTCTATGACAAGGGAAGATCGAATTCATATTTTGCAAAGTAGTTGCCGAGTTCTTAGTGGCAAACAGCAAGGTTCATACAAACCTGTGCTGTTGCAAACTAAATTCTAGTTAGAAGCAAGAGGAAATTATGTGTTTAATAAAACCTACAATTTTTTTGATAAAAAAGGGTTTCTACAGCGCCTTCAGAAAGTATTCACACACCTTGACCTTTTCCACATTATGATGTTTTACATCCTGAATTTAAAATGGATAAATTGAGATTTCGTGTCACTTGCCTACACATAGTATCCCATAATGTCAAAGTGGAATTTAGTTTTTAGAAATGTTTACAAATTCATTAAAAATGAAAAGCTGAAATGTCTTAAGTCAATAAGTATACTGAATAAGCCTGAATAAGTTCAGGAGTAAAAATGTGCTTAAACCATAAAAGCCCTGTCTAAACTGGGGGAGGGGGTGGGGTTCTACTAAGCTATATGGAATTGTTTTAAGAAGGTCATCCCAAGGATCATTTAGCTATTTGATTTAGAATTTTAAGGCCCCTTGAAGTATCCAAAAATAATACAAGAAGAAAGTATACTTTTTTTTTTTTTTTTTGGGGGGGGGGCTTACTGCTATTAGACCATGCAAACGCATTGAATAACAGATTCACTACATGGAACAACAGATAGTCCCCAAAAATCTAAAGGAAGTTTTTTACATGTATTTAACCCCATCAAATCCAACACAACACATCACTGAGTACCACTCTTCATATTTTCAAGCATGGTAGTGGCTGCATCATGTTATGGGTATGCTTGTCATCGGCAATGACTAGGGAGTTTTTTAGGAATAAAATAAATGGAATAGAGGTAAGCACAGGCAACATCCTAGAGGAAAACCTGGTTCAGTCTGCCTTCCAACAGACACTGGGAGACAAATGCACTTTTCAGCAGGACAATAACCTAAAACACAAGGCAAAATCTACACTGGAGTTGCTTTCCAAGATGACATCAAATGTTCCTGAGTGGCCTATTTACAGTTTTGACTTAAATCGGCTTGAAAATCTATGGCAAGATTAAAAAATGGCTGTCTAGCAATAATCAACAACCAACTTGACAGCGCTTGAAGAATTTTGAAAATAATAATGTGCAAATATTCACAGGTGTAATTGCTGCCAAAGGTGATTCTAACATGTATTGACTCTGGGGTGTGACTACTTATGTAAATCCAAATTTTCTGTATTTCATTTTCAATGTATATATATATATATATATATATATATATATATATTATATATATATATATATATAGTATTATAATGTATTGTAGTGTAGTGTAGTGTAGTGTATTGTTGTTGTATTGTAGTGTATTGTGGTGTATTGTACGTGTCTTGTCGTGTCTTCTACATGTCTTGGCGTGTCGTGTCTTGTTTGTTGTTCTTGTGTGTCTTGTGGTGTCTGGTCGTGTCTTGTCGTGTCTTCTACTGTATTGTCGTGTAGTGTCTTGTCTGTGTCTTGTCGTGTCTTGTCGTGTCTTGTTGTGTCTTGTCGTGTCTTGTCGTGTCTTGTCGTGTCTTGTCGTGTCTTGTCGTGTCTTGTGTGTCTTGTCGTGTCTTGTTGTGTCTTGTCTTGTCGTGTCTTGTCGTGTCTTGTCCTGTTTGTCCTGTCTTGTCCGTCTTGGTACCGTCTTGTCGTGTCTTGTCTGTCTTGTCATTGTACATGTATTGTCGTGCATTGTAATGTATTGTATTGTAGTGTATTGTATTGTAATGTATTGTGGTGTATTGTAGTGTACTGTATTGTATTGTAGTGTATTGTAGTGTATTGTAATGTTTTTTTTATTATTTAATTTAATTTATTTCACCTTTATTTAACCAGTTATGGAGGTAAGGCCATAGTGCAAAATAATTACAATTTAGTATTAACACTGGAGTGATAGATGTGCAGAAGATGATGTGCAAATAGAGATACTGGGGTGCAAATGAGCAAAATTAATAACAATGTAAATAACAATATGGGGATGAGGTAGTTGGGTGGGCTAATTACAGATGGGCTGTGTACAGGTGCAGTGATCGGGAAACTGCTCTGACAACTGATGTTTAAAGATAGTGAGGGAGATAAGTGTCTCCAGCTTCAGAGATTTTTGCAGTTCGTTCTAGTCAGTGTATTGTATTGTAGTGTATTGTAGTGTAGTGTAGTGTATTCTATTGTAATGTATTGTAGTGTATTGCAGTGTATTGTATTGTATTGAATTGGAATGTATTTTAGTGCAGTGTATTGTAGTTTATTGTATTGTATTGTATTGTATTGTAGTGTATTGTAGTATATTGTAGCGTGTTGTAATGTATTTTGGTGTATTGTAATGTATTGTATTGTAATGTATTGTAATATATTGTAGTGTATTGTAATGTATTGTAGTGTATTTTCTTGCCGTGTCTTGTCTTCTCAGTGTCTTGTCTTCTCGTGTCTTGTCGTGTCTTGTCGTGTCTTGTCCGGTCTTGTCCGGTCGTGTCTTGTCCTTGTCGTTTTCTTGTCGTGCATTGTCCTGTCTTGTCGTGTCTTGTCTTGTCCTGTCTTGTCCTTTTCTTGTCGTGTCTTGTTTCGTCTTGTCCGGTCTTGTCCTGTCTTGTCGTGTCTTGTCGTGTCTTTTTCAGTGTCTTGTCGTGTCTTGTCTTGTCTTGTCCTCTCTTGTCGTGTCTTCTCGTGTCTTGTCTGTGTCCTGTCATGTCTGTCCTGTCTTGTCCTGTCTTGTCGTGTCTTGTCGTGTCTTGTCCTCTCTTGTCGTGTCTTGTCGTGTCTTGTCGTGTCTTGTTCGTGTCTTGTCTTGTCTTGTCTTGTCTTGTCCTGTTTTGTCCTGTCTTTTCTTGTCGTGTCTTGTCTGTCGTGTCGTGTCTTGTCTGTCTTGTCTTT